AAATTGAGGAGGCCGCTCAAGCGGAATTGGCCCAAAAGAGGGCCTCGATCACCACTGAGGCGCCTGCTCCACTGCTGACCACCCTGCCCACAGCCGCCAAGAAGATCGATAACCTGGATGAAGACATTGTGGTGGATCCCCACGAAGAGTTCATCAACCAAAACTTCGCCCTGGAAGGTGCAGGCAGTGAGAACAGCAAGAAGTCCCGCATTGAGATCAAAAAGGGACCCAATGGTCAGGATTACGAGTACGAGTATGTCTACTACTACGAAGAGGACGAGGAGCCCAGCAAGGTAGAGGCATCTGCGGAGCCCGAGGTGCGCGGTAAGACTAGGTACACGAATATCGATAGGAGCACGACAGCCACTCCAAGTGAGAATAGCCTGCAGAGTGGCAAGGCCAAGGGCAGATCCTCAGATGCCTCCGAAGATATCGAGGCCGAACGTCTGCCGATGATCACCAGGTTCCCCAGTCGCGGCAAGAACATTGAAGTGCCCCCAACCCCCGCCTTGGATTCCTTGGAAACCGCCGCCGAGCGCAAGAAGATCAGTGTCAAGCGTCCCAGCTTGGAGTTGGTAGACAGTGCCACCTTCAACACCGATGAGAAGCAGATCAAGGCCACTCGCAAGGGCGGTGAGAGTGAACTGAAGCCAGTGATTGCCGTCGAACAGGAGGAGGCGGCGGCCAGGAAGAAGCAGGAGCAGCAGGCCAAGGACGAGCAGGCCAAAAAGGAACAGCAAAAGGATGCCGAAGCGACCGCCGAACAAGAGGAATCGGAACAGACCACGCCTTCAATGGAGAAGGCCGCCCTCGATCTCTACGCCATTTTGACCAATGAAAACCTTAACAACGAACAGACCACCGCCATTCCAGATACCGAGGGATCCGAGGGTGTCACCACTTTTGTCCCAGACACCGCCAGCACGGATCCGGATGACGCCGGCGGTCTGACCACGCTGACCGATGAGATTTCCTCGACCAGCAGCACCACTACAACGACCACAACGACAACCACCACGACCACCACAACGGAGGCACCCACCACCACCACTACAACAACCACAACCACGGCAGCTCCTTCTCTCTTCGGTGGCAGGAGGTCGGGATTGAATGGTCTGGCCGGTCGCAATCGTTTCAAGCTAAACAGGTCCGAGGGCGGCAGCACCACCACAAGCACCACCGAGGTACCAGCCACCGAAACCACAAAAACTGGCAGAAGTAAGTTTACTTAATTTCGAAGAAAACTATCATTATTTCTTTCTCAATGTGCTCTGATGGTTGGAACCTACCGCAATAAAACAAACATGACAACATAGCAAAAAAAAGAACCATAAAAGAATTACAACTTTCAACGATCAAGTTTAGATATTAATATAAATTTGTTCTCATAGATCGCTTCTCGCGTCCCTCGATTGGAGGACGTTCTCGTCCTGGAGCTCGCACCACCGCAGCACCAGAAGCCACATCATCGGCAGCTCCTTCCGCCGAGGAGGAAGTTGTGGTCGCAAAGGAAGTTAAGCCCGTAAGCACGGGCTTCGCACGCGGCAGACGTAAGTATTGCGTATTATTAATTTACTCTTTCTTTAGGCTTTCTGTTTTAAATTGACCCTCTCAAAAAAAAAGTCTTCATCAATATTCAATAAACTTTAAGTATTCAAACAAATGTATTAATAATTTACCAATATTGCAAAGATTTTACATTGTAAATTTAAGATATCTTGACTACTACTATTTAATCCGCTTGCAACACTTTTCGTCGAACAAACTAACAGCTATCAAAGCTGATTAAATCTAATTTATTTTAAATAATGCATCTAAATGATCGGTTATTAGCATTTACCCTTCAGCTTTGGCTACTGATTTTTTTTAAACTATGTCAAGGGCGAAACGCTTTAGCCCAAAATTGAATATGAGACCTTTGGAAAAGTGAATTTTAGTTGTTATTAGCTTTGATTTGTATGCAAAGTGAAAACACTAGTTAAAGTAATTAAAATTTAGCTCAGGGTTAATCCAGGTATTTCTAAATTGCATAGAATAATGTGGTCTAAATAAAGGGTCTAAGAAATGAATGAAAGAATTTAGGATATATTAAACTGCTTGTGAAAAGTTTGTAAGACTCAGCACTATATAATCAAGAATATATATCAATTTGTATTGACGCCCATCTTCCCCATTTTAGCTCGCAACCGTTTCAATCTGCGCGGCTCCACCACCACTAGCACCACCGAGCGTCCCAGCGAGGAATCTCCCGCTGAAGGTGACGCCCCCGCGGAATCCACCGGCCCCTCATCAACCACCGCAAGGAGCACGCTGCGAGGTCGTCCCGGACTGGGATTACGTGGACGCAGTCGCACCACCACCACCAAGACACCTGCCAACGCAGAGGGTGGTGCCGAGGCGTCTGAGGGTGGTGCCACCACCAGTTCCGAGGAAGCCAAGTCCGCAGCAGCTGCTCCCGCTTCTCCCGCGGAGCCCGTGCGTCCGTCCCGCTTCAATCTTCACCGCGCCGGCGGCAACCGGCTGCTGCCCCGCGGAAAGCTGGGAAGATCGGGAGTCAGCACGGAGGCGCCAAAGGAATCGTCGCCAGCGGCCGAGGATTCAGCCGCCGATAGCAGTAGCCATCACAATGATGTCAAGGAGGAGGAGACGGCGGGCGGCGAGGCCGGCGAGAAGGCGAACAGCGAGGCGGGCGATCCATCCGCCGCTGCCGCTCCTGCGTCTCCCGTTTCCGGGCTGAATCGCCTCAAGACCCGGCCACGCCTCAACGCCCTAACGCACAAGACTGATGCGGTCAAGCCGAAGGCAGCCGCAGCCCCCGCCCCCGCGCCCAGGAAAATCAATCCCCTGCTGGCCAAGCGACGACTCCACCTGGGAGCCACCTCTACCACAGGTAAAGAAGATTGTTAATGACTAGGCTAAAAAGCAGTGAAATGTTTTAGGAAAGAGATGATCTGTGTATGTTTTCAAATTAACTTTTGACATCGAAAATCGACTCATATATTTTTGGATAAAGAACTAAACTAGAAACTTTGAAAGGTATGCTACTTTTGCTATTGAAAAATGGATCAATTGTTAAAATGCCTAATGTTAATGTTGATTATTAGAAATTTTAACCACAGGTTGGAAGTGGTATGCCAATTTAATATATGATTTAATTCCATGATTAAAATACTACTATTGGGAAACATAGAAACAAACAACAATCTTACAAATGGGTTGAACAATTGATAAACGTTTTAATGACAAATTTAAATGCAGATTAATAAACAATTAAGCCCCAGGTCCGATTCGATTTAATGATGCTATAGGAAACTTACAAAGAACTAAAATGAAAATGAGTCGACAAATTTATCAGATATGCCACTTAAGTAGTAGTAGTAGTAGTAGTATCGGATTTAATTTGGTAAATTTATGAGCTCTTAAATTTTAATTCAGGGGTCACTCTTCTACAAGCCATCGAAAACTTGGATATTTCAAGCAAATGACAACTTTAAAAACAAACTTTTAGAGGAATGTTACTTTAAAAATCAATTGCAGTAGATTCCAGAACTCGCAGTTTCACATAGTTCATTTTTCTGAATAGATACTAAAACTATCAATTCGCATTTGCAGAAGCCCCCGCTGAGGAGGAGCACTCTTCGGCAGACTCCTCTGCGGAGCAGCCCGCCAAGGAGGAGGCTTCCGCCGGAGGAAGCGACGAGTCTGGCGGAGATGGAGCCGCCAAGCAGGAGCAGGAAACCACGGAGGCGACGGAGGCAACCACCAAACAGCAGGCCCGTGGATTGGGACTCTTGGGACAGCGTCGTCGTCTGCCGCTTCGCAAGCCCGGAACGATTCTGTAAAGCCACTCAAATCCACACAACACAATCCAATCCAATCCCAACCAGTCCAAACCACACATCGCCATCCGCCCATTGAATCCTGAATAGAATACTCGTCAAGATTCGCTGCTGCATAATCCTAAAATCGGGATGATGGCTCACACAAGCGATAATAACTCTTACAAATTGTTTGATATATACATATATGTACGTCCTTTAAGTTTCCTCCTCCTCGTACTCCTCCTCCCAAGGACTCGTTAGCTTTGTATACATATTACACTAATTAAACTACTGATAAATGCGGATATACAATGTAAGTAGGATCCCTCCTTGCGTCAAGAGAAAAAGTCACCAAAACGGAATTCACGGAGCGAGCCGAAGAACGAGGAGATTCCAAGCCACTCGTAGACCACTAAGCACAAAAAAAAAAACCCCGAAAAATGTAACTGAGATGCGATTGCCCTATAATATATATATACATATAGTAGTATATCCATATCTATATGTATACCCCGACCTTGCCCCCCTCCTTTTTCCTCTGATCACGCATCCGGAAATCGTTGCGTGCATAGCAGATACATTTATTATTATATTTTTTTTCTGAGATACAATTATGAACAAAAAACGACTTTTAATTATATATTGAATAAAAACGAAAGGAAAAATATGAAAATTTAATCAAAGGTGTTTTGTTTATTTTTAGTTGCTAATGTTGCGATACATTCTTGATCTTTAGTAATGTATTACCCTGTATTAAATCCGAATGCAGATATTTTTGATATTCGAAATATCTATAAATATAATTATAGATTAACTATGTATATAAACATGTGAACCCTTCTCACCAGCTAAACAAGTGATTACGATTTTTCCAACAAAAATTTTCCATTTTGTTTGAGCTTGAAATTCTGAATGGAAAAATTTTGAACTTAACCTTGATTAATGCGATTGTTGTTTTCTCCATCTGCGGTCTCGATCTCTTATACTTTAATCTCTGGTATTGTATGTTGGCCAAACATTTACCCAACTTTACGTAACGTGTTGGGGTTCTCCAAACAGAACCAAACGATGTCAAGACTATTATCGATGCAATATATACATATATGTATCTTATCTGATCATCTGTTTTAGTAGTTCGCTTTTTATGTGGAGTATAAATATGTGGAGAACTAACTGCGATCACTTTAGATTGAGTGCAGCACTATGTCGGGCCGGTGGATTATTTTCATAGAGGTTATCTTGGTGATTATCCTCTCACCCGGAGTTAAAAGTGGAAAGCAAAGTTCCGAAACACAATTGGAGGAAGGCAACCAACAGCTAAATCTCATTTTGGAGGCCATAAACGAGCTCGAACGTCAGCGGTTGCAAGAAAGTATTCTAAGTTCGAATTCGGACACAATCAAACAGCGAATCAATAGCAAAAGATTAAAGTGGAATCGAAGGAGGACTATACCAGATCCGGATGAGCCCGAAAATAGTGAGAAGCGAGCATGGGTTACTTCCACTTCAAATGACCAGGACGCACCAAACCCAGATTACCTTAATGTGAACAATTATCTTCCCACTCCTGCGCCCTGGTGGTTCAACTAGAAATAACTAGACCTATACCTTAAATAAAATAAATTTTTTTTTTGTTATTTTAAGTGCGGCTGCATATTCGAAACCAATATAAATCTTTATATAATTTTTGTAAATATTTTACTGTTTTTTTACAAGTGGTTAATGTAGATCTATAATAAAATTCATATTAAATCAAACAATAATACATTTTTATGCATTTTTCTCCAAGACTTACATACATTTTATTTTTAATATATTTCTATAAGCAAAACAAAATTATTTATCATATTGCAAATCTAGATTAAATATATAATTTTAAAACATTTATGTAAATACATAAACATTTGTTTAGCGTTTCCTGCATTTTACTTAAAATTCCCATACATTTTACCAGATATAAACTTTACTCCGATTCCCATCACACAATCCATTCACTGCTAAGCTTTTTTTGTGAAACCCAAAACATTTACCAAATGTTTAAAAGCTTTTGAGCCAACCTTTTTTCCAAATGACCAAGAAGACAGGGGTACAGAGATTGGATTAACGATTTGGAAAATCCTTCTACTCGAAGCATGTAGTTAAACCACAACGAACCGGTTCCGTTTGGAACTTGGGTAATGATTAGCGATTTTGGCCCGCGCTTTGTGGCTCAATTTGTTTGCTTTGATTCGAGTTGATTTGATTACAAAGTGAAATGTTAGCATGGATTGATTGATGGATGGATGCATTGCTGGTCGTCGGAGGGTATCGCTAACGGAATTGAAACCGTTTCAGCCTTGTGGGCAGAGGGAAAAAAATACAACAAAAAAAATAATAAATAGGGTGTGGTGGGTCACTCAGTCAGTCGGATATTTGCTTACTTGGCCAGCCAATTCGCGAAATTTTTTCAGGTAATTTTGATACCCTATTACAAAAAGTATATTAGGCAATACAAAATAAAAATGTATTATCTAATGAGCTATTGTGACCAACATTTTGAGTTGTTAAACGTAGTTTTATAAATAATTGTTTTCTTTGAATTAAAGATACTAAATATACATAGCAGTACACATTTTAAAAATTTTTTTACAGCGTACTGCCATCTTCGATCACATCATCAAATCTCTTATTTCTTGTTTTACTATCCAATCGAATTCAATAGTAGAAGTACATACATTCATTGCGGCTCTAAATACATTTTTGGAGCAAATCATTGTTAGCCTTGACACCGGGGCGTATGCGTAATCGCCCCCAAAATAAGTAATCGAAAAGCCAAAGCGGAACTCTTGGCTCACTGTTTCTGTTGTTTTGTGGTCCACACTTATTTCCGATCTGAAATATTGGCCAATTTCTGAGAATATGCACAGAAAAAGTAAGTGTATATACTAAAATTGTTCACAACTTTTTGATGAAAAAAAACAGTGTCATGCTGTAATATATCCAATATTAAAGGTCAATACTCAAAGCATCTCCTTTTTATTGTTACCTAATATATGTGTTTAAAAATACAAAATTTTGATATTTACTTAGTTTATTGATTTTTTCTCCGTATAGGGCACTTTCAGGACGGCGTGTCGTCAAAAGGCGAGGAAGCAGAGCGTGGCCAAATGCAAGGTCGCTCGTTTAGCTTGTCTTAAACCTACCCATCCAGCTGGTAAATCCACAAAAAAAAAAAAAAAAAAAAAAAAAAAAAACAACATAACCCCACTTAGAACTTCGTTTAGCAGCAGTTGTTCAAACAAAAATTTAGTTAGCTTCGGCCGGTTCAGCTTCAGTTGATAATTATTATAATATGTTGTTGCTGCCTATCGCTCAATTTTTAATTGGTCAAGACAAAGGCACAGTTTTTATGCATAATTGAAGGCTTACAATTTGGATTTCAGCACACAGTCCTTCACATTGCCAAAAAAAAAAAAAACTAATAATAACGAATAAAACTATACCTCTAATTACAATCAAAAAACCGTGGGGGGTGTAAGAAAATAATGGGTCGTTAATCGATGTTTAACCCTGAACGAGTTCGACTACTTCCGAATATAATAATATAATTATATACAGTCCAATTTCTGTTATGGAATTTCTCACAGTAAGGTGTTAAAAAATTTAATTTATTGATCATCCAATAGCAACAATATGAAAATGAAAATTATTCGACTTGAGAAAATGCCTCCGTGGCTATCTTCCGAGAAGAATTTCCAAACGGCTAATAATACCATTACCCAGGGGGAAACCAAATAACTGTCGCTTTTCTATTGCGATGTAAATAGTATTTAAGTCATTACTAATAGCGGCAAGGCAAGTGTCAAAAACAGTGGACGACATGGCTGTGACGTTTTCAATGTTGCAACAAAGTAAAATTGCAACTATTTAGCCAAGTTAATTGGCTGCAAAAGTGACAGTGGCAGCAGCAGAAAAAAAAAACAGGATTTCACCAGGAAATCAACAAACGTAAGTCCAGCAAAAACAAGGAAAAAAAAACACAGCACGCACATCTCGATTTCAGTAGCAGACAGATTTAAATGGGGAGATAAAAAACCAACCCTGGCCACCTCAATTTCTCGTGCCAAAAATTAAAGGCAAATATAGCCCAGTTTTTTTATTATGTGAAAAGACAAACATTTCTGGCAGGAAAATACGCAGCAAAACACTTGAGCTCTAATTGCGTTTTTTAGATGCTAAGGTATAAAAAGCAGAAGTGAATAACTTTCTCCACTCACAAATCGAAAAGTAGTTCCAACATGAAGCTGTTCTACCAAATTATCCTGGGTCTGGTGCTCATCTTTGCCATAATGAGTTCCGTGACTAACGCCAAATCTCTGGAGGATGATGATGCTACCGATGAGTCGGATGAATCCCTAATCGGAGATGCGGAATCGATTGAATCTTCGCCCCAGGACGTGCAACAGGATTATCTCAATGTGGGAGACTATGTGCGTCCTCCTCCTCCATGGTGGTTCTAAATTTTAATTAAACAATTTTTTTTTTATTTTAAATCTGTTGTATTCAATTACTGTATTACTATTCCATAGGACTACATGTTTTGCTCGATTAATAAACATATTCCAACTAGTATAATGTTTGAATTTAATCAGGACAACAAAACTCATAAGAAAAAACTTTTAATATAATCAAAATTTAATTAATTTTCAGTTGCAAAAAATGTAAATTAATGCCCTAAAAATATGTAAAACTTTTCAGCTTTTTCCTAAAATAACCTGAAATTACCTGTTGCTTAAGACTCAAGAAACCACTTATATTTATTTTATGGTCAATTATCCTTAGTTCAGAAAGTATACACTTTTAATGCATATTTATTCCCGTTTAGCTATAAATATTTAAAGCGAAATTTAAGTTTAACTAATAAACCTAGATTCAGTAAGTGCTTTTCATGAATATATTCCATTTACTTTCGTATATTAATTAAAACCACACATTATGGTTTATTAATGTTATGACTGCTGGAAAAAGCTGTTGAACAAGTTAATGCAAAATATATCATGCACATTTACTCACACTTATCTTTTTCACAACCGTCACTAATGGAAATGTTTGCCTTGACGAGATCGGGCGATTATTAATCGATTATCGGCCGATTACCATAAGAAATGCAACCGACAACGATAATTAAGACAAGTCGCAGAGCAGCTCATAAATTTCGAATGCAACCATCCACTGATTAATCCACTCCCCTTAGCGATCTATACTTTATTTACACTGTTTAAGCTTTTTCGACCGCTGGTTGTTCCGCTTGCATGAGACAAGTGCACCGCAATTGCAGTCAAATTATGTCTGAGGCAATGTTTCGAGCAAGTTTACACAGAAATCAAATTACGGCAATCTCTATTCACTTATTTGCTTTGTTTTTGCGCAGTGAACGAACAATGCCTTTACTGGCATCTACTTATTCCTTTTAAAGATGCAATTTACGGAGCTAAATTTCAGAAAAGGACAGATCTAAATTTCTTTTCTTATGGCTTAAACAGATTAAAAGAATTCCTTGTTGAACTATTACAAGTCTTTTTTAAGTTTAGATCTTAAATGCAAGTGCTTTTGTAACATGCTGTAATTTTCAAATAACACATGTATGGCAATACTAATAAATATAAAAAAAAATAATGTATATATATATGTTTTTTAAATTAATTTTGAAACACAATTTATAAGTGAAAACATTGTACGTGACTCTAAGTAGTTAAACTAACTAACCCAAACTCGAAGCAAAAACTACACTTTTTTTTTATTTTATTTATACAAGTTTCAAATTATCTACATAAACCACTTAACGGCTACACAAATATTAAATAATTTAGGAAATAATTTTAGTGCAGTGCATATCAAACGGGGAAATTTTCGATGAGTGCCAGTGAACAGGAAATCATTGTGCGCCGTCTGATTTTGGCCAAGACAAATAAATCCAGCAGGAAAGAGGGGTTCCGGCGGTCAGGGCCATGTACATTGAACTTGAAAACGCTGGATAACATTCAACAGAAACCGAACGGAAAGTGCTGTGTGGCTAAGATTAGAGCCGTTGGGCAACAGGTTTTCCATTTGCCAATGCAAGATGAAAATCCTAACTCGCGATTTGGCGGGGAAAATGTTCAGGCTGCCATAAGTGGGAAAAAAGGAAAACAAAACATGAAACACGGGTCCCGGGCAATGTCATTCGGCATTCGGTTTGATTTTCCGCCCAAGTCAAAGTGATCATGTGTGTAAATAATGCCTAATGTTTGCCTGCCGGTTGCATAAGCGCGTAAGGCAATTATGTCAAAGAGATTTTCTTCATTTTTTTATTTTTATTATTTTCGATTCGCGCAACTTTTTGTTTTTTGGCCACTTAGCGCACGCCATTTGATAATGTTGTTTTATATTTTTATTTTTTTGTGCGATGGCGCAAAAAACTTGTTTCAATTATTGGGAAAATAGCGTATAAATTATCGTTGCAAGCGTTGAAAACGGCGAAAAATTAAACAACTGAAAACTGTAACTGTAAAAGAAACAAATCAAAGCAAAAGCAAAAGCAAAACAAGCACAGCATCCCACACGAGAAACTACTGAAAAACGAGTCAATTCGATTTGAATTAGAGGTTCAACGGCTGCAGCAGGCGATCATCATTAAATGCCATTTTCAGTAGCTACACAGTTTCGTAACGCAACGCACACAATTAATTAAGAAAAACGCAGTGGTCATTTTAAGTGTGCTTGTTTATGGATATATATATATATATAACATATAAATATTTCTCTGTGGGTGAACCGAAAAGCGGCCAGGGAAGCAGGCTAAACAGCTTTAAGAACCACTAATATTTTTACACATTTTGCATGAAATTAGCATATCGATATCAGCAAATACAATCGCCAAGAGACCCAAAAACTGGTCCAAAATGTAAAATAAAAAAATTGTAATTCTTAGTTTTTAATAACAACTTATTAGTTGGAAAAAAAACTATTTGAGTGACCTATAGATCACCAGTGAAAATCTACCTACAAAATGTATTTATGTATAACTTTTGCTAATATATTCTACAAATTATTTGTAACTACTCCACCATGAGCTAAAAACATTTTTCAAACTGATTTCTAGCTCTTCTAGAGCTCCTCAGTTTTTTGAATTCAAATAACCCAACTGGTGGTGATTGTTTCCAACACATATTCTTTAAACAAATTTTTAGACTGCTAATCCTATGTTTTAACCAAGAAACCCCAACTTTTAGTAATATTTTGAAGGTGTTTCGAGTTCCGAGTGTAGACTGTGTGTCTGAAGATTAATGCAAACCACTTCATCAGCAGAGGTCGTTAAACGTGTTGCTGAACCAGGTGCATTTGGTCCAAAACAGTTATAACGCGAACGCATTTGGACCGAATTTGTAGGTTTTTGCATTTTTGTTTGCGGCGGTGGTCGTTAGAGCATTACCCACCTAGGGCACCACTAAACATCCAAGTGGTCCACAGGGAAAACAATATTGCAAGTTACAGACAGTTGCGTGGAGTTACCCAAAACGCACTTCCACAATTTTGAATATCTTGTGTAACTCTTAAATTGGAGTGATACGTACATTTGCCAAAAATCACCTGTCTATAATTAGCGGAAACCAATTGTTTGACCCTCGGTGAATTGTGAATCATCGATGCTGCCCAATCGAAATCTAAGCTCAAGCAATAACAAAAGAACAAGAGATGTAGAAAGAGACCTTGAAATCCCTAAGATTGGCCATGATTGACGGACGCATGCGGAAAGTTACATCAAGCGTCTTGGCACTCACCCTAATACCCTGGCAAAAAGGCTGACTTGGAAAATAAGACTGAAGAGATACCACCCACACGATCTATATAACAATGTTGCTTCTAAACCTGGATATTAACTATAAAATAAAAATATTAATTAATGTATTGTAATCTGTAGAATTAATGACAAGTAATTGCAATTCAACCAAAACTATATAAGTCCATATCATTTTAAATGAATTAAGTACAGTATTTTAAAATTACATAATAGGAATTGAAATCTAAACATTAATAATTTAAAAACATTTTTTTAATGCTTACAGACTTTAAAATGTATATTTTGTTCTAGTCATTCCGCTTGTAAATTTCTTGCTGCCTAAAAGACTGCAACATAACTTTACTAATCAGTTCAGTAAAATAGTTGGATCACTTGAGTTTCATTACATATTAAAATATTTTCAGTAAATTTTCGTATTACTCTTTTTGTATGTTTTATAAATGATTTGCAAATAAATCAGACAAGTCTTAAATACCGATAAAGGCCAGGAATTTTACAGAGCCCAGCCCATACCCTTTCAAAAATGTATGAAAAATTGCAAATTCAGCGAAAGGTTTTGGCTGATTCAGTGAATTCGGGGGTTCGAGATACGATACTTGTATTTATTAAACATGCGTGAAAAATCAATAATGGAAGACAAAAGCCACGCACAAAAATGCCCAAACTTGGCCGATCGATGGGAACCACTAGACCTCCCGAACCACCGAACCACCGAGCCACCCGAACCACTGAAAACCACCGAACAGCACCGAAAAGCACAAGATATCCGACGAAGTGGACGCCTTCGTTGTTTTCGTTTTCATTGGCCTGTCTTCGTCTTTGGAGAAAAAAAACCTCATATAAAACGTGGCCGACATATTACGGCCAACAGTCGTAAGCGCGCCACGGTCCACAGAAGAGGATTAAAATCAGATATCTTAAAGTCCAAGACGAGATAGAACTATCTCCAAACTAGAACCAGAAGCATTTTAAGCTCTAGAGTATTTTTGTTTTTTTTTTTTGTTTTTGCCAACCCATTTTGGCCAAAGTGTTGGGTGTGTTTAGTAGTGCCATGTTTCAGGATAAAGGATGGATCCTGGTGACCCTGATCACCTTGGCAACTCCCTCGTGGGCGGCCTATAAGCTCCAGGAGCGATACAGCTGGAACCAACTGGACTTCGCCTTCCCGAACCCCCGACTTAAGGATCAGGCTCTGGCCAGTGGCGATTATATTCCGCAAAATGCTCTTCCCGTTGGAGTCGAGCACTTTGGCAACAGGCTATTCGTCACGGTTCCCCGCTGGCGAGATGGTAAGTCCGGAATCTGATCCCCAAGTTGTTAACTGGATAGCGATTCCTAATCGAGATTGCTAACGAGCCGATCTTATTTTGGGCATCATTAGCACCTACAAATTGGGCGCGGAATCTGAGTGATTAAGGAATTGTTAACAGTTCGTACATGGTTTTATTGACCAATTTGGACTGTGATGCAAGGAAAATTAGTTCCAAAATAGAATCCACATGAGATTCAATCGGTTTTACAACAAATTGCAGCAAAGTGCAGCACGTTTGATTTATCACATATCAATTAAGTATTGCAGAGCGAAATGTATTTTAATTTTGTAAATTCAAAAATATTTAACTTATTAGAATTAATTTTAGGAGATAAAATTCTTTAAAAAACATGCAATATGCAAACCAAAAATTACTTAAAATAGTAAGTGTTTTCAAGTGACTTATTTTTAAATTGTGCACTAAAGAACGTATACCTATATTCAAAGCTGTGCCTTTTGGAAATGAAACTAATATTTAAAAAAGTAGTAGTTCTAAAAACTGTATTTAAAGAAGCTCTGGGTCCAACTTTTTTGAATGCCTAATAATTTTTTTTTAAATTAGCTTCTTGTTAAACTAATTTTTCTCAAGAAGAAGAAAACGCATAATACAGAAATTTTTCTTGATTACCGGCTAGGCTACCTCAGAACTGTAGCGATAAGTTCCAGAAAATACTGAAAAATATTTCGGGAAGTTTTATTGTTTGATGGTTTTCAGCAGCGCGTTGACCTTTCATAAATCCGGTTGATACTTGCGTGCTGCATTTACATTTGAAAACTTTAAACAATTAACCGTTGTAAAATCGGAGCCAATAGCGCGGCATTGGCATTATAAGGTATAAAGTATTATGGTATTATATGACCATCCGAATTGTGAAGGCTTCTTCAGGGTCGCCACACAAAAATGGAAATGGAAATCCAATCACAAACAATAACATATTATGGTATTATGCCATTAACCAATGATTAGCTTTCAGTCGGATCGAAGTGAGAGTTGTACAAAGTCTTAATATAAAGTCATTGTTCTGCGGCTTGCAGGCTATTTCACACACAAATTGGCAATGGTGTTTTGTTTGGGGAGTTTGCAAAATGACTCAAACAAATATTTCACAAACCAAATCCATTAAATAATATTGCATTGTAGATTCAAAAGAGTTCTGCGGCATTGCGAATTCGGCATTACATTTATGATCATTCATTTTACAACTTAATTTTGGTCAATTAATAATCAATTAAATTAAAAGTAGTTGATAAACAACACATATTCTTAAATTAAGACATTAAGGTAATTAAATTAAAAGTAATTATTATGCGGCACATTTCGTTAAATGAAGACATTAAGGCAATTTTTAAAGCAAAATTAAATATTAAATTTTAAAGAATATATATGATTCAAAAACATTAAATTGCTAAATTAACATTTTTAAAATAAATATCCTCATATTCTGGCAAAGCCTTGATGTCTTTTTTAAAATTTCGAATGCTTACCGCAAAGAAATAAAAACTCAGAAGGCCGAATCGGCAAAAAAAAAAAACCAAATTAAAGCAAACAAAAGTTCGTGAAAGTTGTGGTAAAGTGGAATACTTTGAGGCACGCTTCAATGGCCATCGAAGCAAATCAATTAGTCAGAGCAAATCGGCGGTGGCAATAACAACTTCAAAATCACTTCAAGTTGACAGTTTATGAGCTATGATTAATGGGTCTTATTTGCTCAGGCAAATAAAGAAAATCCAAATCCATTAGATAATAGCCTTGCTGAAGCTTCGTGTAAATCTGATCCGATCACAAAATAAACCGACAGGTATTGCAGCGTTTTTTTTCTGCTTGTACGCTGTGTGTTCCCACATACGTAATAAGCTATGCGACAGGATTACAAATTAAAATCAAGCCTGAGAAATCGTAAATTGAAATTGAAATGAGAATGCAATCGAAAAACTGAAACTAAAACCGAGAATTGCCAACATTAATTGGCCGGATAGCGACTCAATAGCTCGTGTTTCGTACAGATTCATTAGGCGACCAGCCATTGAACCACCAACCACCGGCCACTTAGCCACTTGAGCCACTAAAGCCACTGAGCCACCAAGTGGACGCATTAAGCACTCGATTTGTGTGGGCCATTTCAAGACGCAGGTTTATCTCAATCACAAATGAGATCACAACAAATGGCTGACTTTCAGGGGGCGGAGACTTGAATTGAGACTTGATTCACAGATTAAGTTTACACAACGTTACAGGCAAACAGAAAAACGAAAATGTTTATACTTCAATAAATTGTGAGCATTCTGTAAATTAAATGTGTGCAAAATAAACCTTGATAACAAATTGTTATCCATACCAAAAATCAAACGAACTAAATAAATATGGTTAACAACTATTTGAATTTCTTGAATTTCTTTAAAATACAAAGAATACAAGCATTGAGTCTTTAAATAAAACCAGGCAAAAAATGTTTGTAACAATTAAAAAATAAGGGTATTATTTTTCTTATATTTTCCCCAATTACCCAAATACCCACTTCCACATCTTACAAATTAATATGTAAAGATCACACACGAATTAAAAGGCGCTAATGGGGCGGAAAAATTGCTGTCAGCTCTATGTCGCTTAATCGGTGATAAATGGACCCCGATAGCATGGGGCGGGCAATAGTCCACAAAGGGGGCGTGGCAATATCCGTTGCCCGCTAGCTGAATAAAAATTAAAGAAAATCAAAAACCTGAAATGCCAGGGAAATCAATTAACCAAGATATATAGAAAAGAAGCAACTGGAGCGGAAATCATTTGAAACAGTGCCGATGACGATAGTCGTTCATTTATGTATATATAAATATATATATATATATATATATATACATCTCCGATTTATCGTATATGTATTGATGATGATGTCAGAGCGAGTTGCTTCAGTTTTCCCGCTAATGACATCGGAAATTGCACGCTACTTGCATTAGTGCCACAAACACGAGCCAATTTATATGACTCAAGCTTATAAAAGCGGTGGGGCTTGCTGGCTCCAAATTTAGAACTTCCAGAAATTGTACAATTCCAGAAATTAAAAGTGTCGTTAGCGCAGCGCAATGGTTATTAATTTCAAGTTCCGCGTGTCGAATATGATGACAGTTGTGCACTTAATTTATGGCCCAAGCCTCTTATGATTTCTTTAACATGACCAAGACGGGTTTAAAGACTTTTATTAGTTTCTGGCAAAGAAATATGGACAATTGAATACATTATCTTGCGGACAGAGGAATTTGCAAACTGAATAATGCATTTTAAGTTGATTAATACTAATACTAAAAGTTAAAGAAAAGGTATTGCTTTTTGCATTTTAATTAATTTAGTTTTTATCATAAATATCATATTAAAATATAATTATTATTTATTTATTGGCTGCAAGTTTTTTTAATTCACATTCTTTTAGTTAAACTTCTATCGAGGATAAGACAATAATATTTTATATTTAAAATCCAATAACTACGCTACGATAATATTAATATCATTATTTACCCTCTAATGCTTTCCCTCTTTTTTTCAGGAATCCCCGCCACTCTGACGTATATAGATATGGTTCGCAGTCTCACGGGCTCGCCGGAACTGATTCCGTATCCGGATTGGCGTTCGAACACGGCCGGAGATTGCGCCAATAGCATCACCACCGCCTACCGCATTAAGGTGGATGAGTGCGGTCGTCTGTGGGTCCTGGACACCGGAACCGTGGGCATTGGCAATACCACCACCAATCCGTGCCCGTATGCCGTAAACGTGTTCGATTTGACCACGGATACGCGGATTCGGAGGTACGAACTTCCTGGCGTGGACACCAATCCGAATACTTTTATTGCCAATATTGCTGTGGATATTGGCAAGAATTGCGATGATGCTTATGCCTATTTTGCCGATGAATTGGGCTATGGTTTGATCACTTACTCCTGGGAATTGAATAAATCCTGGAGATTCTCGGCTCATTCGTACTTCTTCCCCGATCCCTTGAGGGGAGATTTCAATGTGGCTGGACTTAATTTCCAATGGGGCGAGGAGGGTATCTTTGGAATGTCCCTTTCGCCCATTCGATCGGATGGTTATCGCACCCTGTACTTTAGTCCCTTGGCCAGCCATCGACAATTTGCCGTCTCCACGAGGATTTTGAGGGACGAGACCAGAACGGAGGATAGTTACCATGACTTTGTGGCCTTAGATGAACGTGGTCCGAATGCCCATACCACTGCGCGAGTAATGAGCGATGACGGTGTGGAACTGTTCAATTTAATCGATCAAAATGCAGTGGGCTGCTGGCACTCATCGATGCCGTACACCCCACAATTCCACGGTATTGTGGATCGCGATGATGTGGGTTTGGTATTCCCGGCTGACGTCAAGATTGATGAGAACAAAAATGTCTGGGTTCTGTCGGATCGGATGCCTGTTTTCCTGCTCTCTGATTTGGACTATGCAGATACCAACTTCCGTATTTACACGGCTCCATTGGCCACTTTAATCGAGAATACGGTGTGCGATTTGAGTAACAATGCCTTTGGACCATCGAATACGGTTTCTAGTCCCAAACAAGCCGCACTGCCCATTGGTCCACCATTGTATACCAAACAATATCGTCCTGTTTTGCCGCAAAAACCGCAGACGAGCTGGGTTTCTTCACCGCCGCCGCCTAGTCGCACTTATTTGCCCGCCAATCCGGGAAATGTGGTCTCCAGCATCAGTGTTTCTACAAATACAGTGGGACCGGCCGGAGTTGAGGTGCCAAAAGCTTACATTTTCAATCAGCACAATGGCATTAACTATGAGACCAGCGGTCCACATCTCTTTCCTACCCATCAACCCGCGCAATCGAGCGCACAGAATGGATTGAAAACCTATGTGAATGCCCGCCAATCTGGATGGTGGCACCACCAGCATCAGGGTTAATATTAACCCAAATTGGTATACGGGGATCATCACACTTGTTGTATAGAATATTTAAAGACACGCAAAAAAAACAAAAAAAAAACACACAAAAAAAAACACTCATGAACAGCGAACCATATACCCAGGGCAACAGCGGTTATTTTATAAATAAAACTCGATTCGCAAGTGGCAAATCAAGAATTTCACCTAGTTTTGAATTTTAAGCAAGAAATAAAACAATTTTTTTTTTAAATATAAAAGAGCATGGCTTTTTTTAACTTATCGAAAGAGAAGAAAACCGAAAAGTAAGTATGCATCATCTTAATATGTTTATTGCTTTACTTTTAAACGTTATGAAGAATATATTAAAATATAATATTTTCTATTGGATAGTTGTATTTCTATTTGGTTAAGATTTTCTGAGAGTTTTTGACCAAATGAAAAAGTCAGTTTACTGACTTATAATTATTTATTGTTGCATACTTTTAGTATAAAAAAAAAATATGTAAAACTCTCTTATGGTATTTATCATATCTTATTTAAAGCTGTTAAGAAATTGCTGCTAAGCTAAAAATGTTACTTTAATTTAAAAAAAAAATTAATATTAAAATGAGAATATTCCAATTTTTAAAAACACAATTTCCGATAGGGGGCGTTGGTTAAAGTTCACAAAGTAGACTTTTACATTTTAAGCAACCAGCCGATAGATGGTGTTATTTAAATTCTACATAGCAGTTTTTTTTACTTTCTTAAGGGTGCATATTTTTGGGGCTGAAGAAAACCAAAAAGTAAACCAGTTTAATTTTTGCATGCTAATATTCCGTTTTCAACGCCCCCCAAAAGTGTAAGGATTTCACACATAATTACAAGTGTGGCCTCACATCTGGAATCTTTCGGCTTAACGGCAACAAAATCACACAGAAAAAAAATGTAGGGGATATGATATTATAAAGAATTTTGGATCAAAAGTATTGATTTTAATATTTTAGCTGTCAATTTGTATCAGCAATGGTAAGCAACAAATTATTAGGACAGCAGGTGGATTTGAACCTGCTCCTTTTTAAATGAATTGGGGGGATTTGTGTATAAGGGCTTGCTGTTATTAATTTTAAACTATTTGAGTTTTAATTAAAATTAAATCATATTGTTTTTTTTTCTGTGCAGCAGCAATTATTCACATCACCCCACACCCAGGCGATGATTTATGCCCCCAGTTTCGGGGGCGTGGCATTTTGTCCAACTTTCGAAAAACAAACAGAGGAATAAGGAGCAGGCAACATTTATTTACTTAGTGATTACGTACGGACATGGATGGACGTACGAGGAAAAAGCCTCCTGTGCGAAACACTTAACGCCAAAAGTGAGCAAAACAACACTTGCTCTATTAACACGCCAGACTGTCTGATATTTATTGGTTAACGTTAAGGGAGTCGGCTTAACGAGAAACGAGAGCATCGTACGTGTGGCTAATTTGCGGTTAAGGCCGCATGATTTACATAGCCAAAAAATAAAGCCAAACCGCAAAAGCCAGTCCATGCAAATTATAGAAATTTCCCTTCAGCTTTTTCGGCCAAAACAAATATTGAGATAAAAGTCGGTGGGGCCCTATAATTTGAGTTATTCAAATGCCATAAATCCGCTGAAACAAACGAGCTGCAAATTTCACGTTAGACGCCCTTTAATTTCACGCTGCCATTTGTGGCTTCCGTTTCGCATGAGTTTTCGTTTTCGGTTGAGAATTTTGGGATTTGCATTTTCAATTTGAATATCCTGCGGTTTCATAATTACGCTGGCCAAAAAGAAAAAAGGAAGCAACCGCCGCCGTTTTGCAGCTTCATCAGCGACTCGCTGAGTTTTTGAGCTTAATTGAAGGCGCCATCTCGTTCCTAGTTTAAACTGAACCACCGCTGTGCTGAAAAAAGGAAAAACTGCAGTGGCTACAAAGTCATCTCAAGCTGTTTTTCATACTTCTGTATATAAGTCAAGTTCGTCGCTTAAGTCATTCGTTTTGCTACGTTAAAAAGAGGCAATTTTAAGCATAGTGTAGGCAGCGTATTTGACAGTCAGAATTCCCACTGAATTCAATTAAAAGCATAGCAAATCAAAAGTTTTATGCTTATTAATCCAAGACTTAATTGATTGCAGCAGGTCGCAAGAAGGCGTGAAATGCAAGCTCAGCTAGGGGCCTCATAAAAAATTATTAAAGGAGCGGATGGAAAATTTAACTGGGGATGAAATAAAAGCGGCGCCACAAAGGATTTCCAAAAACTTTCCTTGCTAATAAATAGCTCGAAAAACAATAAAACAATAAAAAAAAAAATAATATATATTTTTGAAAATATAAATAATTTTTTTAAATACTTTGGAACATTACATTTCTGATTTTCCCAGGCATATTTCATACAATATATATATTTTCGCAAAAACACAAATAAATTCCATTTAATAATTTGTTTTCTTTTTGTTTTTGTTTTTGAATTTTCAATATGTTTTTACCACAAATACAATTATTTAAAGACCACAAACATTCATAAATGCCATTCAAGAATTATGTTTGTTATTTTTCACAATTTTTTTTTAACAGAAGTTCATGCATTAATTGAACATAATAGGAAGAGAGATCTCGCGATTGGGAGCAGGGAAAGTGCAAGTTAATCGCTCAATTCGTAATCGGCTGGCCCCTTGGGATGCGATGATGATTCCGCTGCAATTGAAATTGCATTTTAATGGCCGCACTTTATGACAACATCAGAAGGGGCAACCGCGAAATTGCTGGCCAAAAAGACTTTGTTGGTGGTACGATCGTAAAGGAAGAACAGCCCAGTAGAGAACCAGAAACTCCAGAAAACTGCGATAAGGATAGCGAGCGTGTAGCGTGTAGCCACACGAAAATAAAAAAAAAGATACAATTGTATCTGCAGGTATAAAAGAGGGCAGACCACTTGTGCAGCTGGATAAAAACTAATGCACTTGCAGTCCAATCTAATCGTTTGCCAAATGTCAAACGAGTTTCATTCATGAGGCGATACCCCGACTCCTTAAAAATCCCCTTTTTCCCTTTTTTTCCTTCCTAAAAATGTGAGAGAGTTCATTCATGGAGGACTGTGGCGATAAGTCCGGTTCTTCATTTCCGATATGACAAACACGCGTGAAGAGAGCGTCAAACGTTTTTTTTTCGTCGCTCTTATCGTCATGGCTTAATTAAAAGGTTATTCTTGTAGGCAGGATAACACTTTAGCCGCAAGGATTTCGATTGAGTTGTCTGGGTTTTGAGGGTATTTATTCAGCCCCTTATCTTAAAGACTTTCTGACCTTGCCTCGCAAACGAAAGACGTAAAACTGAAAGTCGACCGCAAAGATCTGGAAAAACGGGGACTCCACGCACACAATACACTCAACACTCGACCACAAATATTTATTCACATGGCCAGGTGAGGATTGACAAATTTCCATTTCGTCAATTCAATCAATAAAGCTAAAGCTAAAATGCAACACCTCAACATGAAACTGCAAAAAAAGCAAGACAAAAAAAAAAAAAAATAAAAAAATGAGTGGCCAAGGCCGATCGAAAACCGCTTTCAATTAAATTGGGGCACACTTTTGCCTGCGGTCCCCGAAACTTCGTTATCATCATCCGCGTCATCATAATCATCATGAGCTGCTGCCTCAGGAGTGAAAATGAAATTGTTGCCCCAGGCGGTGTTTCCAAAAGTCCCCAGCTCATCCTCCTCGAAGCCCCAGTAGAGAAAATACAAACGGCAAAAGTAACAAAAACAAAATGAATAAAAAAGAAAAGAAAGGAAAAGGAAAAGGAATTTTCAACACCCTTTAAATAAATTAAATCCATTTACAGAAAATTCGTCAATGTTTTATAGCCACTTAATGATATTCGTAAACTAAAAAGTACTTTTTATATTTAATACATTAAAATAAGTCATAGTTGACTAAAAAAAACGTAGTTTAACAATGTACCTCATTTAATATAGGCTTGGAAAATTTAAGAACTTTTTTTGGTACACCCATTAAAATATAAATATTAATTCAATACTTAATAACACTAGCTATAAATGACCAAAAATTCACCTTACGTAAACTATTTAAAGTTTTGTTCATAATTAATAACATTTTTAAATATATTTTTTTAGTGAAAGCTATAGGTAATATAGATTTTAGAAAATTTTCCTTAAATATCTCATTGAGCGATAGCTTTGCATACTCCCTGGGAGGGTATATAAATCAAAAAGAAACATAAACGCAATGAAAAGGAAGGAAAAACTGGTAGTTAGCTACTTTTACCCGATCGTTGACAGTGGCCAGGGGACATGGGGGCTAAATCGGGGGTCTTCCAAGAGAACTGGACGACAAGGGGCATATATTGAAATTGAAACTGTTGATGGAAAGTTATGGCAGCTCCATGGGCCGCATAATGATGACGAGCCACGATCATCACGATGGCTCTAGATTATGGGGCGGCCCCGTCTATTCAATCGATCACATATGAATTGACGATGGGAGTGGGAATGAAGGAGGAGCAGGTGGAGGCCATTAAATGGGTGCCCATGTGGGGACAGGAAACATGAGAACGTGTGAATGAGATCCACGAGAAATTGAGTCCGTTCGGTGAGTCTATCCATCACTGAATGCAGGACAAATCACGATATCAGGGGAAAACTTATGGGGAGAATTTATATCTAAATCAGAGATCATTGCCTTCAACTTCTTGTAAGCTTAATTACTAAGCTGATGACTTTATCACTACTAAACGGATATTTTGTGAACTCAAAAACGGCTAAAAATAATATATAGTCGGATGAAGGCTTCAATATTTATAAATTATTATAAATAAAATCAAAGCGAGTTAATTAACCAATACCCACTTCTACTTTTTATTGCTAAGTTTCCAATTAAATGTATAATCTCTTGAGGCTTCAAGTAAGATAACAATAATATTGACAAGAACACAGAATGTATATCAAAGCACCTGTAATTTAATTGTGATCAATCAAAATGTTGTTAGCGCTTTCTGGACCTTCAGGTGTTTCAAATTATGTAAAATTTGCATTTAATATTCAATTACGGTTCCCAGGGTCTTGAAATTATCTCCGGTATGTGCTTCATCATTATTATTTTGATGCCATCCATCCAGTGGAATGGTCTAATAAACTTGCCAATGCCGCTCTGCACCGACTTTCTGTGGGCTACTGTGCGCACCCATATGCAATCG